GCTATAAGATTATAAAGCTTTAAGCAGCAAATAAAGCTGCTACGCGATGTAGATTGCATAAAAAAAAAGCAGATTTAGGCAGAAAAGACCTTAATAGTTAAAGATAGAGCTTATCTAACTGCTTTAAAGGAGTTTAGAGCGCGTAGTAATAGGAAGAAGCTAAAGACGCAGGTGCGCGCTAAAGAAAGTAAGCTAAGTTAAAGGCAATGCAGGTAGTGCAATTAGACTAGGCATAACTTGCGTACGTGTAAGTAAGTAGCAGAAGTAGACTCTAAATAATATCTTATGTTGTATTACTCTATACAGGGCTAAAGTAGGCTGTTTTGCAAGAGAATGGGGTGGTTTTAGTGGGGGCTTGGCAAAAGTGGCCGGCCAACCCGTGTGGCCGGCCAACCTGTTAGGTACGTTATACCTTTATTTTGTTCCTCTCTAGAAACTGTTTAACCTAAGCACCTTATACTGCTGTTAAAGGGTAAACTACAGTTAGCTGCACCTCTCTATCCTAGTAACCACGCCTTAACAGACTGTACACCTGTCTAGACTAAGTTCCCTCCCCATTCGAACCCCTAACTCTCTCCCAGGCCCCGCGAACTTTAGATACTATTTCCCTAAAGTAAAGATTGTAACAGTCTGCTATCTGTTGCAATAATAGTTAGATAGGGTTAGTTAAATTGTTTTCTATTTAGAGTACTATTTAGTTAACTAAATCTATTGCTGTAGGCTTAAGGTAGTTATTATTACAATTATTCTCTTATTTGCTAGTACTTTATGTAACTTGTTACGTAAAAGAAGGTTGTGCTTGCTTAATAGAAAGTAGGAGGGGCAGAACCTAAGTACTTACTGTTAATTAAGCAGAATATAATTAGAAGAGGAGTAAGTGTTAGTGCTGTTGCTAACTTAAGTAAAGTCTTAGTGTAGATAATTTAGTAAAGAAGAATAAATAAAATCACTACTTAGTGTGCTTTAAAGTTATAAAGAATAACTATAGCTCTCTTACTGCTAGAGAGGTGTCTAAGTTTTATATACATGTGTAGAGTTCCTTGTCTATAAGTTTATAAGTTGTAGAAAATTAAGCTAGCTTAATTTCTCTAAGCTTAATAACTTATAGTTAGTGTTTTTACATTCTATGCTACATAATAATTATATAACTCTTAGTTGTGTAATGCTCTATTTATAGCTTTGTTTTCCTTTACTAGGATTAGGCCTTAGCCTCTAAAGCTTCTAGCTTATCTAAAAAGAATAGGTCTCTTCATGTACCTAGTCTGCTGCTTCTAAAGCAGTTAAACCTGCTTTTCTAAATAAGCCTTCTTTATAGACATCTTTACTACTTTAGCTTTAATAAAAGCTTACTACTTAGAGACTATAATCTAAACCTTGTAAATATTCTTAAGATCCTGCAACACTTTAGTATAATTACGCTAGAGTTTTTTCTAAGCCTAGTTAGAAACAAAAGCGTTGCAACAACTCCTCTTTCTTACGCACTCTACACACACCTTAGAAGACAATAACAGCACGCATGTTAAGAAAGAGAAACAGCAAGGCCTACACAGCTACATCTTTATACAACAAAGGGGATTTAAATAATAGATAGTTTAAGAACAACAAGTCTAAGAATTATAATAATGCATTATTAAAAAAAGGTTTAGCAACAATAGATCAGCACTTATAAGTTATAACACTTCCCTAACACTTACAGCAGTGTGGACAAGGCGGCAAGGACGCTGCTAGGGAGGAAAGGCCGTGTGTTATAATCTATAAGTGGACTGTAAGCAAGTGCTAGGAAGCTACTAGCCTTTATAATAACTAGTAGTGGAACTTTTTCTTAGCAGCACAAGAAGAATTACGTGACCTCCTTAGACAAAACTAGACTAGAACGCTAGAAGTAGAACAGCCACTAGCAATGGCCCTGGAAGAATGTTGCGTACAGCAACATGCACGCAGTGCGCGCAAGACAGGCAACGCGCGCAGAACGCGCACTACGCGCAAACCCTATGTATATAGTTGTGATCTTGACTATTACTAGAAGGGTTGTAAGTAACGTTTAGTCTTACTCCCCTTACTAGACTAAGTAGTATAGTAGTTTCTAACAACACTATACTTCTAATATATCTTTACATATATACTCTCTTACTATCTTACCTTAAGATTGTTTCCCCTGCTCTTCTATACTAGCAGACAATGCAAACCACGTTAACCAACTCTCCCTACCCTATATAGTCCTCGGATTGGACTGTACACCCAAGCCGTCGCCTATTCTCCCTTCCGATTCCACGACACCTAGTGTCATATAACACCTGGCCACGCGTGCCAAGCAAATCCATATATTTGCTAAGCAGGTAACGTAACAATAGACAACCCTTCTCTGAGAACCAACCCGAGCGTCTTTGATTATTTATACTTTAGTAAAGGCTCCTCGAGCTATCAATCTTTAGTAGATTAATGATCTTAACAACGCAGCGCTGCTGCGAAGGACAATAGGCTTATGGGCGCTCTGACGGTCAGGGCAGGAAACATGTATAAACCACTACGAGATCTTGGATAAAGAAAGGATTAAGATAGATAGGTTATTTAACACCCCTTAATCAGCGTTTTACGCCGAATTGAGAGCCTTTTAAGGAGAGTTTTGGAGGAGGGCTGGTTTGCCGGGGGATCGTTTGGCCGGGGGAGGTGTGAGGGGTGCCCTGCACCCCGCATAGCATATAATCTCCTCTGTGGGTTACGTGATCGGCACTAGCTTGGCGCTAAGGCGCTACTCTGTTAGCGGCACTCTGTTTATATACACATTGTGCTTTCCTGTACCTCTACTCTCTAGCTTAGTATTTTCAGGTTATATCGCTCCTTTGGTGCAGCCCCTGAGTGATCCCGCACAAGATACAACCTTGTAAAGGCATTTAGTTATTGTCCTTCCTCGAGTCCGGCTCATTCGGGTACGGGGCCTCGTCCTTTCCGATCTCACGAACCGTAATCGCGGACGACCCGCTGCTCTGATAGCCCTCAGTAGCCATAATCATATAATTGTGGTTCCCTAGCTTCAAGCCATTCTTCACCCAAGCATCAAAATGGTTTCCCGTAGTGATATTGCCGCCAACCCGCTTCTGCGTGCGCACCGACCAAAACTGATAGAAGGTCGCGCGACCCACAATCGACGGCTGGTTAACCCGCTGCGTCTGATAGATATCATAAGTTCCGCCATCACTCTGGATAGTTCCGCGCTTCTGGGCCCCGCTGCTGGGGTTATACGTCCCATAGCTCTCAACGATATAGTACTCGATCAGCGGATCCTTGGTCCACCCATAGAGCGCCAGATACGAGTTCTGGTTGATGGCGCTCCAGGTGCCGTTGTAGGCGATGGACTTCGCACCGCCGGGGTTCCACCCCTTGCCCCCGACCCAGTTGCCGATGTTGCTCCACTGGCTGGTGTAGGAGCCGTTCTGCAGGTTCGTGTACGTCACGCTGCCACTGCTGTTGTCCGACCAGAAAGAGTAGAAGTAGTGGCTGTGGAACCCGTAGCCCTGCGCCGAGCCCTGTTGGCGCGTCTCGAGCTTGCTGCCCAGGTCGATGGATCGCCCGAAGAGCTGTTCGCTCAGCGGGATAGCGGATGTGATGGCCGCCACGGCGGCCGTGATGAGGAGGGAGTTGAACATCATGGTTTGAAATCTGAGTATGTATGTATAAGAAACGTGTGTGCTTTATAGAGAAAAAAAGTGTTTTCCTTTTTGCCCCCCTGAGGTTTTTCTCACGATCGAGAAAGGGAAGTGTTGCCTGTGTTTTATCTGCTTTTTAGCATCTTTTTGCCGCAACGATGTCAGGCTTAGATTACGGAATTCATTCATGGAATTTGCAATAGATGGAGCGTGGGTAATTGAATATTAAAATGCCAAGATGTTAGTAATTGAAATATAGGGTTATGGTATAAGCACCGTGTTTCTATTGATGGGGGTTTTGTCCATTAGGCCGATTGGCGCGGTAAACCCCCGGCATGGCTGGGGATACACCCGCGTTCTTGGATATACATGTGCTTTTACCGAGGTTTGCACCACTTCTACCAGCGGCTAAAGCCTTCTTCTTCAGTTTGTTGATCTTCTGACTTCTTTTCTCGGCCCCGGATCTTGGCATGGCGCATGAAATCGAGATAGAATTGTTGCCTATTATTTCACTAGTGTGTGGGGTAGGTAATTTCAGTGGAGGCTGCGCCAGTTAGTTCCCGCAGAGACGGTGTGTAGGCAAGTTGGGTATAATAGAATGTACTCAAATACACCCCTAGCAAACACAAACTAAGAGTACGGCGGACTGTTAGCTAGTGAAGGGAAAAAACTAATTACTAATTTAAAAATTCTTTACCTTATGTAAGGCCGAGATGGTGCTTACGTGCGACGAGTATATATACTATTCTGTACGCAATAATTGACGTTGGTTGATTATTCGCACCTTTTTGGTTGTATTGGCGTAGTGGTACAGAGCTCCGTCCTTACACCTTACACCTATACATCCCTAATTATAGCCTTTAGCTACTTATAACTTTATAATTATTTTATACACATTTATACATGTTAATTTTATAATGCCTAGTAAGCGTCTTCTAAATAGTTACATTGTACAAGTGCTTACTAGTATAGTAGCAACATAGGAGGACGTTCTAAGATTAACCTTAAACTATACTAACTCTATCTACTTAGGCTTTTTTAAAAAAGTGTTATATATGCATAGATAGCTACTTACCTTTTTAAAGAGTTTTAAGTTTATGTTACTTTTTATATAATTAAGTAACGTACTTCACGGGCGAGTTGCTCACACACCTGAGTCGCTTACTTTTGCTAAGACCCCACTAAACTACTCTTCCTACACTAATGCATTCCTAACAACACTACTTAGACACGCTAAAAGAACATTAGATATAGCTTACGCTTAAGGCTTTTAAATAAGACGCAACACTCTTAAAGCAACATGCTGCAGCTATGTACAGGGTCTTTTAAAAGACAACAAATAACTAACACGCTCGACAGCGGTTGGTGAAGCTGCTGCTTAACAAGGGCGCCAACGTCAACGCGCAGGGTGGAGAATACGGCAACGCACTCCAGGTAGCTTCAGAAGGAGGCCACGAGCAGGTGGTGAAGCTGCTGCTCGGCAAGGGCGCCTACATCAACGCGCAGGGTGGAAGATACGGCAACAAGCTTCTGATCGACAAGGGGGGCTGACGCCAGGGTACGGGCGCATTGATAACACAATTTTAAATATCATGTGTTTATTGTTCCCTGTTTCATAGATGGCCAGGGATTAGGATGGATATATATCTTGCAAAGTTGCTACATTAAAAGTTCGAGGATGTTCTACTAACTTCTACACTGAAGCACATGATCAATATTCCCCACTTCAGCCTCATTGAACTGACGAACTCCTCCGATGATGCTAGCAGGGAGGACGGCCGAACCGTTCTGACCAGGACCTTGCGCTGGAGGCGATGGCGTGTAGATCTAGCTGAAGGGAAGAGTAATATGCCGTATGCAGTTCTGGATAGAGTCTTTCCAGGCATAGCCATCATGATAGCTCTGCTAGTACTCCCCCCTCACGAGCATGAACGATCCAAACGCCTCATAACCCTCAGAGGTCAAACTGGAGCACGTCTCTACCGCCCTAGAGATTACAGTGCACATGTAAGGAGCCGTTGGTCGTTTGACCATACGACAGCTGTATCACCAAAGCATGGAGAGCCTTTCCACCTTCGTATGTGCTTGCAACAACGGCCTTCTGCCAGTGCTACTCGGCCCACCTGCTGAAGCGCAGGCTTCGATTTCCAGGGCTGTCGCACTCTATCTTATCGTACACCTCTCTTGTCTCGTTGTGTTTCCCTTTAATGAGCCGAGACTAGATCTCGGCTGCTGCTTGGTCTAGGAATCGGCGCTGGTGGGCTCGAGAAACATGAGAACGTGGTGGCTTGAGCGGGTCTTTCGTTCAGTTAGCTAAAGGACAGCGACGGGTCTCTTAGCTTGAGGGCGACGTGAGTGGCGTGTCTCTGTATGACGAAAGTGCGTATCGCTGTGCGTTGGACCGCATCTCGAAGCTGTACGATGGAAAGGCAATACATGCGAATATCTTGGGAATCCTTACGAGCTAACTGTTCCTAAAGGTCTTAAGGCCGGCTCTCATAACGCATCTGAAACACGCGTAAAGCGAATCGTCTAAGTATCGCTATCCTCTCAATCGACGTCCCTGTCATCGCCTACAATCGCTAGAACGAGAAGCAAAATGCAAATCCCAGCGCCACAGCAACCGCGTAGATGGGAACCGACCCAACAAAGGTTCGCTCCCCACCAGAAGTCCGCCCCGACGCTGCAGAGCTTGCCGAAGTTGTGCTCGCTGGTGCCTCCGTAGCCTTATGCACAAGCGCGACCATGGGCGTAAACGTAACAGCGACATATCGTGAAGCCTCTGCGCCTGAGAATGTCGTCTTCGTTGTTTCCGTGACGGGCTTTGTTGCGGTGATCGTGAGAAGGTCGGCCGAGATGGTGGTCCCGTAGACACTCAAGGTCGTACCGATGGAGCCAATATCATCATTTGGGACTAGACGCAGGCAGCCCTCGGTGGGTGTGAGGTTTGGAAGAGTAGAGTAGCACGTCCCTTCGCCTCCAGTCATTGAGCTGCCAGGTATATGGTTAGCCGCTGGACAGCGCCGAGCCTGGCGTTAGGCGGATGTGATACTCGAACTCACCTTGGACAGCACAGCACAGCTGTCTCACCGGGGTCGATAGCACCCATGAGGACGTTGAGGGGTGGATTAAAGAAAATCCCTTCCACGCGAGAAGGCACTGGGTGGGCCGGACTAAACACGCCAGAGGTGCTCAGCACACCGTCTTTAGCCTTTACGGCAACGCCGACTGTGTTCCAGCCTGCTGGACATATTACACCTGGTGAATAGTAGCCTATCTCATTATATGCCACGTCGGTAGCAACCCTCGCGCGGTGGGAATCGACTGTGTCGCCAGAAGGATAGCATTGGCCAAAAGTGCTCTTGGTAATGTCGCAGCCGATGCTATAAGCGAAGCTGTCTGGGGCTCCAGAAGGTGCAATTTGCAAAAAGTTGGACTCGGTAGCACACGATGGCGCCGCAACAAAAGCTGTTGTGAGCGGACCATAGTTGGTGATTTGGAACCCGAAAGCTGAGGTTGCTGTAGGCATAGTAACAGGTACGAGATACACGCCTCAGATCTTAGCTTCTCTCAGTATGGAGCCTCAAACCGTTGACTGGATTTGGAGGTTTTTACCAGATAAGATATGCCGGGGGAGTTGATTCGTTTGTCTTATAGGACGTGACTGCCCGACGCTCTGGTAGGGGGTAAACCAGCGTTACACCAGATGGTCCAAAACCGGGTCAGAAAGAGATTACACTCTGCGGGGTCAATCGCCGATATCCATGTCTCCTTGCCTGTTGTTCAGTTGCTCCTTAGTCAGTCGTCTTGTCTTTAATTTAGATCCCCGTCAGCTCTGCAGAGTGGCCTGTTCTGGGTTCGCATTCCATCCTCAATCTTGACCTCCCATGCTTAACACCCCGTCATCGGCGCCCAGAATAACACCCCATGAATCCCTATCTCTCTTGATGGCAAGTAATTCCTCATGCACTCCAGAAACTCTGCAGCCAATCCAGCTCCAGCGCGTCCGCCTCATTGACATACGCCTCTGCCCTAGGACTCGCCGCCCTCCACATGTCCATAAACCCTGTAAACCGGGCTGTTATGGGTAACAAAGACCTCAACGCCGCGGGACCAGAGAACAGACCAATAAGAAAATAGGAAGAAAAGAATGACAGCCATTCAAGGCTACAGTATGTAGCATCCTCAAAGAAATTGAAAAGAAAAGGCTTAAGGCTGGGCACTTTGCATTGTCTACCCTTTTTTTGAACCAACCCGAAGGTCGAGACCCTCCACTAGTCTAGCCCGAACCTTGCCGAGCCCCTTAGGATGCGGCTAGCCCTTGTCTGGGTGTTTCGCCGAATCCTAATTCAGTGGCCAACTAAACCCAGAGAGGCCAGCCTCTTACATAATTCGTGAGGCTAGCCGCTCAGAGTGTGGCTAACCGCGGGAACTCCGGCTAACGTTACCATTCTTCTTTCAGCCAATCGGTAGATTATTTCGCCGGTGGATTTTGAACTTGGAATTGAGGGTGCGCACTTAGCATCAGATGGGTGTAGATGTGAGGCGCTGAAATATTCACCGGAGCAACACGATCGTTACGTTGATGGAGGGCGTCGCAGTGCAAGGTTGTGCGGTTCGATAGATCCACGACGCTGATGCTACCAACTTGTGATGCGCTCTGGGTCGGCAGCACATCGTCAACCTCAATGCGTTGTCGCTCGAGGCTCGAGTTGTGCAACATGTCAGCATCGCAGTGTCGCTTGCGCAGGCAATCGGTTGGGCCCGAAGACGCTAGAGGGGAGTTCCGCAACCGGGCCTCTGCGCGATTGAGAGAAGATGTTAAGCCGGAGGACGACGGGCATGGTGGCATGGCCGAGGTTGATCGTAATGCATGGGGTAAGATCGTGGAGTTGCAGTGGCGGGCACGAACACGACAGCTAGTCGCAGGCACCAATCACTCTGGCAATGGAAGGCGACGAAAGCCGCAGCCAATGAGCATTAGCGCTTTGAGGTGTTAACTGATAAAATAAGCCAGTTTAAATTATAGACATATCTTCTCTTGTAAAAGAACTATCATTCACATACTCCAAAATTTGAAATGATATTAATGGCTGTTGTGCAGCAGGGGTGCAAACCTAAAATCGATCTATTGTAGATGTGAATGCGAACAATCCGACGGCATGACCAAAACCGTCGTATGTTAGCCGAGGGGGTTCTCGTGCAGACGGGGTTCTCGCTCACCCGAGCAAAATCAAGATGGCATACAAAATAACGTATATTACAGCGTTTACGCTGGTAGTTGCCATTCAATACACATATTTTGTAGAGTCTCAGCAGCAGCAGCCTTAGCAGCCTTTTTTAGCAGCGTTCTCTGCCTCCTTTGTGACTTTTTGGGCCTCCTCAGCCTCTAATCTGTGAATTGCCTCTCTACCACCACATCTTATCGAGGGGTTTTATTTGCTTGTGAATGGTTGTTGGCGCCTCGCCTCGCCTGTAATTTCTACTGCGAGGTGATAGATGAACCTAGGATATGTAAAATAGCGGTAGCACATTGTATGGACTTTAGCTGAAGTTGCGCGGATCTGATGAGACTTCATATCCAGGTCGATTTTAAGGTTCCTGTTTTGGTCCCTCGATCACGCTAACCAAATCCGGGCTTTCGCTTCGCTGACCCAAGGACGCTTTTCGACCCTTGCCACCGTTCCTGACTGCAAAGTAATTTTTAATGATCTGACTGGTCAGCAGACGGCTAAAGAAAGCTGGGTTCAATACTGGCCTTGAGCAACTCATACGCTGGTTTTGGCACACTTTGTTCCTTCGCACTACAATCTGTAGTGTATGACACTCAGGATCAAAATCACCATAGATAAACAGACGGCATGACCACAGGACCGGCTCTTCTGCAAATATGTTAACTACAGCATAGCGACGTCTGGATTTCGAATTTCGACCCCCGTTTTCGGAGTCTCGATTACGACCCCAGGTTTCCTAAACCCGTTCTCGGTTCTTAGTTCTCGGTTCTCGGTACCTGTTTCCGGGTTCCGGTTGTTATTCCCTGCTAAGTTAGCATCCAAATACTTGCTTAAAGCATGTAACGGGACGACATTAGCGCTGGCCTTGCTACTGCAGCGTCAGACTCTTTGCACCGAAACGGGCAACTGCTGACGATGATGCGCAAGTCTTGCTGAATCCAGGCTACTGGTTTACCGCATTCTACAAGATGTCTGTTACACCTATTATCCTGCGCTCATTCATGTCTTCGTCGATAGCAAACACTATGTCCTGCCTTAACCACGACTATCTATCGAAACGCAAGACCCTGGGCTTTCAAGGTGTCGCCCAAATGGGCACTCGACAGGATGGTTGGATCTTACTCCCATGAAGAAGAGATACCAAAGAGAACTTACGACGAACTTAAAGAATATGCACAGAAAAGGGAAATAGATTATGAAGTCGATCGGTTGAAAAGCAAAGAACGAGGCCTCATAAAAGAAGATGCGACTCCTATTCGAGAAAACATAAGACTGCGAAAAATTAAGATACTGCGAACTGATTGAGAGCACAGACGCGTGACACAACATCTAAGCAAGTGTGTGTTTCAGCCACCATGATGTTTGACAATAGGAATTGGGAGGTCACATGGACATAAAGTTCGTGTGGGGTTAGGGTTACAGTACACGGGGGTCTTGTGAGCTGAAAATCTGTATGGGGTATGAATCAGAAGGCCGTAAATTGGAAGGCCATACGAAGTGAAAGTTTGTGTGGGCCCTAATACGAGATTCAGTGAACATGAAACGTGCTTATCGTAAGGAAGATTAGTCCATATTCTCTGCCATTGCATAAGGAAGAGTCAGTAAGTAGAAAACATGCTTATCGTAAGGAACGTTAGCCCATATTCTCTGCTCGTGATTCGTGAATGAGGAAGACGGATACATGAGTCAGTAAACGGGAAACATGCTTACTGCATGGAACATTAGCCCGTTTTCTCTGCTCTTGCATGAGGAAGACGAACACAAAAGTCAGTAAACAGGAATCATGCTTATCGTAAGGAACATTAGCTCATATTCTCTACTCTTACAAAAGGAAGATGTAATCAGTGGTCGTGCAGACTGATGGTTTGTAGGTACTACAGCAATGTCGAAGAAAAGCGGAAAGATCTTTAACAGACGACCAAAAAGCCGAAACCAAGCTGAGCGTGCATTGTCTGTCTACGTTACTAATTACCCCGGACTCGGTCCTTTACAGATCCGGGGCAGCCGAAAAATAAATCAAGACGTCGCATCTGCGATAGTGCCACGGCGAAGAACAACACCAAGCAAAGTATTAGGCGCATGAGCTCGAAACTACTTCATCCGGGCGAACATGCAGCATAGAGTAACTAAGCTACAAAAAGGCAGCGGGTATTCGTTGTTTCCAGAGCAGTTAGTTAGAGTAGAGCCAGTGGGCGTGACTGTCAGCCAGCCATTTGTGCTCGATTTAATGAATCGGGGTTGGTTTCGTTCACTACCTAGTATTATATACCGGCAATTTCGATCCCCTGATTGGCTAGCGAACCTTTGCTAGTCAACCCGAAGCCGCCGCTCGAACTAACAGATGGAGCGTCCGAAGCGCGCGCGTACACTTCCTCGGGAACAAAAGAAGGCGCTGCTATTAAAGGCGACGGCCCCAAAAGCAGCTGCACTCTGTTTGTGCTCAGTTCCTATTTTTCAGTTTAAGGCTATCTCAGGGGTCGCAATAAGGAGCCTGGTGGGCGGTTTCGTCCCTCGGCCTATTATTTACCTAGTTTCGATTACCTGATTGGCCAGGGAACGAGGCCGCCGACAAAGCTGCTAAGGAACTCAAGGAAGGGCATGCCATAGACACACACCAACCCCTACGAACAGAGTACTCCGGCTCTACCAAGGGCTCAGCAAACGGCAGAGTGCGCTACTAGTTCAGTTTAGAACAGAGAAAATTGGCTTCCGGGACTTCCTCTTCCAACGAAAAGTACCAGGCATAACAGACACCAGGTGCGAATGCGGAGCGAGACGACAGACGGCCTCACATTCTCCTCCATCGTAGGAACCACAAGGACATCCGAAACAAGGAATGCGGCCGCCTACTTGGACGACACAACCTCCGGGCCATCGTGAACAACCGCAAGCTAGCCACCAAAGCTCTCAGGACTATAGAACAAGCGCAGATCCTTGGGCAAAGGGGGATCAGAGAAGAGTAGACGAAGCCGAGCACTGGGGCGAGATGAAGTGGGACGGAGCGTATCTATTAACAAAGATCCGACCCGTGTCGGCTGTTCGTCACGTCTGCCGGGCATAGCTGCGAAATCGCGGCTGAAACCGTTTGGAATCAATCAATCAATTAATCAATCAATCATTGCTTCTCGAATGACTTGTACCTTCTATGCGCGTCTAAGCCTCCGACCCTCTGATACCGACTCGATTTCCTCTCAAACCCAAGTCCCGACCGACCAATACAACGAAGCGAGACAGCCATGCCATTAGCGCTCTCGCTCAGGTCCATCAGCAGGAGGTGTTGGAGAAGCACCGAACGTTCCGCGTCGGCTCAGTCCTCTCGAGCCCTCTCTATTCCTTGTCGGGGTAGTGCTTGCGCAGTCGCATTTCCATCCTAATGTTAAATCGAGCAGGCAAACCCATCAGCAGCGAATAATTATTCAAGTATACGAACGGACATATCCTGGTTAATGAAAACAATGCGTCCGCCGGCGGGCAACACTCGCCTGTCCATGCGATTGAGAAGATGGAAGGAGGGTTTAGCAAGGCACTCCTCCTGCGAAAGGAGGATGGGAGCGAGATCATTGCCAAAATTCCATTCTCCATTGCCCGGCTACCGAAGTACACAACAGCCTCTGAAGTGGCTGTTCTCCAATACCGTAAGATCGCCAAGTCCATGAAATGCTATTGGACCCAAGACTGATATCGCTGATGGCAGTACATACACATACTCAAGTCCCGGTTCCTAAGGTCCTGGCCTAAAGTTCCGACCCATCAAACCCTATTAGCGCAGAATATATCATAATGGAAAAAGCTGCTGGGATACAACTATTCAAGACATGGGGAGCGATGAGCGAATACGATCAGTTCTGTCTCGTCAAGCAATTGACGAAATTAGAGGGCGAATTGGCAGCACTCCGCTTTCCCGCCAGCGGGAGTCTTTACCTCTGCGAGTCCATGGCAGACGACGACATATATGTCGCTTTAGACCCTGGTATGGAACCATCTGGGCAGTTCTGCATAGGTCCATCGTGCGAGCGAGGGTGGTATGCTCAGAGCAAGACGACATCTTCGCATTCTCCTTTCAACCGAGGACCATGTGAGTCAGATATGCGAATGTGATCTCCTTTGCTGACTCTATTCAACAGGGTCAAATTTATCCTCTTTCGGTATTGCGCTTGTAGAACGGGAAACTGCACGCATTGAACAAAATCCAACGAGTGCTACTCCTGATCCACCACGTGGATCCTTCAGTCAACAGATCGCCGTCCTAAAAATGGCCAATGATGTTATGTCTAGGCTAGACTCGCACACTCATCGATAGGGTCTCCCAGCCAGTCTTATAACACACTGACCTCCACATGGGCAGTATTTACGTCCCTAACGAAGACCCTACTCAGATCACCTCGCTTATCGATTGGCAGTCGATTGTAGTCTCACCTTTGTTTTTACAAGCCCGCTTCCCAGAGTTTTTGTCGGTTGACGAAGACTACGCTCTTGGCTCGGAGTTGCCTGGGCTACCGCAAAATTATAACCAGATGGACGCAGATGATAAGGAAATAGCTGAGTTTAAGCTTAGGGAAGCTAAGTTGGCTAAGGCATATGAATTATCCAGTGGGTCCTAGAACAAGCAGGCATACAAAGCCTTGTTTATACCATCATTCCTACGGGAGCTGTTCATTCGATGTGGAGAGGCCTCAGAAGGGGGTGTAATACCACTTCGGGCATGTATTATTCAACTCTCCGAGGTGTGGAATGATGTAGGTTTCACTGGCAAATGCCCGTTCAGCTTCAGCGAGGACGACATGCAAAAGCACGACCTACAGTTTGAGGAATATCGCGACCTTCATAGAGTCCAAGAAATCGCCAGAAAGCACCTCGACACTGATTCTGAGGGTTAGATTGCTCCTCGGCTTGATTTCGCTATGAAACAGCAGCAGAACGAGAAGTTGCTTCAAATGGTCATGCACAGATGTAATGAGTACAACAAATCAGTTAAGGGAACTTGTTGAAGTATCCATTGCAGTAGTACCCCGTGGCGCTCGGCATCTCTCTTTACAACTTGGTAATCCTCAGTCTGCAAAATGAACTCGTGAATGCAATCACTGTGTGCCTTAAGCAACTCGTATTCTGCCTGTGCCGTCTCTAACTTGGATTGCGCTGCTAACAGCTGTTCAGCTGTTGTAGAAGTGTCTGTGGGGGGATTTGGGAATGTCCCCATTTCGCCATTGCTGTCTCTGCCAAACGCACAACTGACTTCGTGGATTTCAAAGCCCTCTCAGCCCTCTCTTTTGACTCGATCTCTGAACGATAGCATCAAAGCCGCATATGGACTCCTCGTCTCCCCGGGCTTCAGCACCTTCGAGTCAACGAGCTTCTTCCAAGTATTGTCGTGCCGTTTCTGGTGACTCATGACGATGCCTGCATAGTAGTCATACCACCAGTACTTGTAGACAAGATATTCGATCTAGGTCGTCATCTTGTCCTGCCGGGCGGCATCTTTGTCCAGGAGGAATGGCCGCGTGAACCCATGCCTCGCTAGTCGTTCTTTCAGCGCCTCGGCATACTCCAGAAAGCCCTGCGGGTCTGTTGTTTGCCCCTTGCGCTTAATGAATAGTTGCCATGGCATGTATGATGTGCCGAGCCGTACATAATTTTCATATTCCTGATCCAGTCGCCATTCGTGTTCCCACCTCTCTTCAGAAGATCCCGAGTCTTACATCCAGGGAGAGTGGAAAAGCCTCATCTTATGTTCCTCGTACCAAAGGCTTCGCCAATAATCGTAGCCTCTTTACCCCCTTGTGAATCGCTGCAGACTCCGGAAATGTTCCCATCTGCACAATTGGGTTTCAAATACTCTCCATTCACCCTCGTTCGAGTATTTACTTTGCCAGAAGGGCAAAATTTCGCGGTGCTCTCCAGGATTCTCGACAATATCCTCAAGCCGAGTCAGCGGGTGTTAAGGCCGGCTGCCATCGTTAACAAGCATCTTGTAATATCCGCTTTTGCGTCGCAAATCTTCGTGACGTTGTTCCTCTAGATCGGGAGATTCTGATGCCGTTGTTGCAATGGAGGGCGATCGACGCGATTGCGTTGGGGTTATTTTTCATGGGCTCAACCTGGCTTTTTTTGCTCAATTGGCGTAAGAGTTCCTTCCGGAGAAGTTATATCTGTCTTCTATTTGGCGCGAACTCATCGAGTCGAGACTAACCTCTGTAGTAAGTTGTTGATGCACGCCTTTGTTGATTTAATGACTAACTTGCATATTGACGCATTGCAGCTATGTTTTCAACGGCACGTTCTCGACTGACCGCCGAGAGTACTCTTCCAAGCATTTGTGGGGAGCTGAACTAGAGTTATTATGTGATGTGGCCCTGGCTGGTATATTGTGGCGGGCGTACATAATGTTGTCTTTAAGAGGATAATAGTCTAAACCCATTTGAAATGCTTCTATCAAGACGCAAAAAAAAATTCTTTTCATTACAGAACGTCGGTCCGTGACATGTTTGTGCAATCGAACAAACGTAGATTAAGGAGATATATACTAATAATGCTATAAGCAGGATTAAGATCTAACGTTTACCCCACTGCATTCAGCTAATTTCCATCTTTGTCTGCCATAACCGCCGTTACCAGCGACCGTACAAGACACTTGGATATATCGCCATAACCAAAATTCCAAGAGATAAGAAGCCATTTTTCATTACCCACTCTATTATGCAAAGATTCTAGATCCTTCACCTAGCGGCATAGACGGATAGATGGTTGGGAAAGGTGCACAACAAGATCGTACAATTCGCACACTATGGGTAAATTGATTAGTGGACTTAAGCTGACGTTTTCTTCCATAGGAATGTCCTAGAAATGGAGGTGAACGATTCGTAAGACCATTAGCATTGCAACCACGTTATTCTCAGGAAATAGAATCTCAACCTAGCGACCATGGTATACCGCGATAGACAGGGCCTGTACGGCGTAGAATGCTACCAAAACAATAATAAGCCCTATTTTCTCGCCGATGATGAGAGTGATATCGTTTTACTCGTGATCGCTAATAGTTGGAGCACGATTAGGCTCATCGAGAGTGTTCATGGAGGCCATTTCAGAGTCGGCATCCCTTTCAGAGTTGGTGCTGCGCAGCTTCAAAAATCTAACCCCCATGGGGAAAACAGGTGAGGGTGGAAGAGAGGACAAGAAAGGCAATGTCAGACAGTAGTTAGAATGTAGGCGTTAGTATCTTAGCATCCCCAAATCGGGTAAAGCACGCTGTTGTACCGGGATAAAGTTTTGGAGAATGTTATGACACTCTACAGAACATTGAACAGGTACAGGCCATCTCTTTGACCTACTTCTAGAAGTAGAGAGAACAGAAGAAAGCGCAGTTTCTGTCTAGATTTGACACCAGCATTCAGCACCGCGCACTTAACTGAGAATGGGTATTGTATACCAAGGCGTAGTCAGTGCTTCCCTCATCCCCAGGATCCATTTTGGCCTCGAAAAATACAAATTCTTCTATTTAATTTAGAAAAGAATGCCAGGGAAATCCAAGCTTAGAGCAAACCACCTATATTTAGGCCTGAAAACCCAATCTGAACGAAACCTGATGTGCAGCTTTTGGAAGCACCAGAAGCATGAGGAACTGAGTTGATTGCTAAAGGAGTGAACCTAAAGGTCTGTATATGCAAATGAGTGGGCTATACAGCAAGTGGTTAAACAGCAGGTAAATCAGGTAACGTAACACAAGGTGGTAGAAGTACGTCATCATGTGACTAGAGATCGGAGATCTCTGTAACTGCAAACACTTGATTAAAGGCTTCCAAAATCTCCTTACTTTGTTAATTTCATCATCCAAATCCCGATATGAACTTTAGCCTTCAGAGCTGGCTAAATTTCGCGGCCTGTACGCCCATGTGCTTCTCTTAACACTCCAAGTTAGGAGAGGAAGTGCACCCATGAGCCCGGCCACCTTCTTCGAAACGTCCATCGCCTTCCCACATTCTGCAGAAGATGCGAGACATTTCACCAAAACTTTCTCATGCGTCATCTTGTGAAAGTGCCACCAGTTATGTTCCACCCATGTTTCCAGATGCTAATGCAAATAGGCCAGCTAACCTCTTCATGTTAAGATTTTGGAGTTTCAGAGGGATTCTACAATACTATTTAAACTTTGATAGTAGGAGTTCTGCTGGCTGGTGATGGATAGAAGTCCAGATCTCTGGCGAATGTCTGTAACGGATCCCAGAATAGTGGTATGCGTGTCTTATATTGTTGTGAGTTTTGAGACCATGTCGGATGAGATGATTTGCAAGAGTGGCGAACGGCCTTCTGGTGTCTATCCCGGCAAACTGCGGAATTTTCAAGAATTTTTCCTTCTGATATTGATCATGTTCTCTGGACAATCACATACACCAGCCCGATGGCCGCTGCTCGCAGAGCGGAAATGGACTCCCCAAGACTTCTGGTAGCTAGGGGTGGCTCAAGGCCTTTCTAGCCCTGCTTATTTCTCCGTCTTTATTTACTTCAAGGTTATTAACAGACCCTTTCCCAGTCTTACGAAAGTATCATGGTCCCGAAAAGTTCACGCAAGTAAAGACTGGCCTCATATCTGGCGTTAAATTCGTAATGCCTTATGCGGCAAAGTCTACTCATACTCATCCAATAAGTGCCGAACAATATGGACAGTTTAATATTTATTCAGGGTAATATCCAGGTTGGCGAGCGAGGACCAAGTCGATTTTGGCAGTTCAGAGTATCAGTGGTGCGCGGTGCGAGGAATGCTCAGCATTGCGTATGAGTCGTCCTCGAGAAGATCCACAGACGTTGCGTCATGATCTTGCCAACGAGCGCCAAACATGGGTTGCCAAATATTTCTGGCATTCTGGAGGGCTTTTGTGATGACCTTCATCTCCAGCCCCTCTTCACCCAGAACAAGAGTCAGGAGATGCCATAGCTGCTGTTGAATTCTTAACACCAAGCACGAGTAGTGCCCAACGCGCGCCCTTAAGCCTAGGTAAAATATTCGGCTGCTTAACTCGACGTAAAGGAACGACATACAAATTGTGATGCAGAGAGGATACAGTCACACAGTGTCGTATTTTAAGGGCTGATGATGGTGAGAAGCTGAGGGCTGAAGCTCGCTAAACCTAGTTAGGAATAGTACACTCCTTTTCAAACCTCGTTTAAACTCCTCAACCATTTCTGCCTTGTGCTACCAGGTCTCAGCCTCCTCTCGCAAGCGAATGCGAGCTGTATCTTCAATATCGGCAAACAGCGAAAACCTCGATTGGCAAGTCGTTTTTATGACTCGTTACAACGGTTGGAATACGCCTCTACGGCGCATCCGTGTAGCGGTGCGGCATGGTGGTAAGCAAGGGCGGAGGACATACAAGTATCCATCCGAGCCCAGTTTTGCTTCTCGCATCATTGTTCATCCATATCGCTTGCGACCAGTTGTATCCCTGCCTCTATTTCGTTGCTTGATGTATCCCGATGTCACTTATTAAAGATCATTTTCGACGACTTTTTAGGGCTGGTAAAACTGCCCACCTGACCCGCAACGGGAACGAAAAACAGCCGCTGGTCGGATGGTCCTACCAAAATACGTCGTCCGAGCCAAGTCTTTGCGGAAATGAAAGTCTATGGGAGAAAGAAACTCTTTGCGAGAAATATCCAGTACCACCACAACCAAAGCAGGGCACCTCCGATATCACCCTAGCGATCAAGTCAACGCTTGAAGAACCAAAACGTTGCTCCCATAAGCTTCTCGTGTCGTGTAGCCTTTCAGCGACTACAATATGCTGTGCTTGTGCAGACAAGCGACCTAAAGCGAAGCAGTACCCAATCTACATCGATGGGGTTGGTCAGACCATGCGCGGGACACGATGGCAGGGATACTGTCCGGGGTGTAGAGGTAGATCTACGATGGGAAATTACGGCACTCTGGGCAATGCTAACATGGTTACAGCACATTGGGGGAGGGAAAATGACTTAGGTAATCATTTGGCAGGTCCGTTTGACTTTCCACTCACAAAGATTCTGAATATGGGTGTGGAGATCGATGGTGTTCGTTATACCATTGAATTCGTCCCATCCACAACTCTGACAGTTGGAGTGATCAGGGCTGAAATGGCTGATCGATTACGTTGTCACCCGTCTGACTTTGCGCTCGAGGCCGATGGAATCCAACTGACAGATGACTCGACTGAATGTGGCGTTGGGACCACTCTTCACATGGTTAAATTCAGTCTCCATGTGCCACCCGTTAATCTCGACGACGATGACTACGATTTCCTTAAAGACTTGAAAGAATTTGAATTTGAATCGGGGACTTCCAACAACTTGCCTTCCATCGACAATGGTAAGGCTGGCACAACTTCTCCAGCTTCCCCAGCGCAAACGAATCCCCGAGATAAGGGCCGGTTCGAACGTGGATTTGTCCCCTCGATGTGATGGAAATTAGCTACGGAAATGTTAGCTCACGCAAATCCCAGAACCGCGGATACTTTACAGTTCAACTAGCAAATAGTCAGCATATTGAAGATTTTATTCTCAATTACTCTGCAGTTTGCGATGATACTCCTCATTGCGTTGGATTGCACACTGTGGAAGGTTATGGTGATCTCGGGGTTAGCAAGGAATTACATCCGATGGAACTCCTTGAAGCGCCAAACACTCAGCCACCGCAAACGATTTCGAAAGCCCATTGATGGAGTTATATTTCCTCAACCGATATACTAATATCGTCGCCTTCGTTTCACGGGCAATTGTGCTACTAGGGCGGATTCGTGGAATTCGCCATCTCGAACCAATTATTCCGCCATATGTTTCACCAATATCTGCAACCTGCCCCATGCAGGACCAAGTTCGCCCAGTCACAGCAGAGATGCAATTCTCCATATAAGCTTATGGCCTTCGGGGATAATGCATATTTGCATGTGAGCATATGAAAATACGGTATCGAATACCCTTACTTTCTAAATGGTGTATCTTGACTCAGACCGCCTGTCAGGCGTGAGATGTGGCGTGGAGGCGACTTTCTTACGAATACTTTACATTACTATCGTACTTAGGTATGAGCCTATCAGGCGGTCCGCCACTATCCGTCACAACCTAGCTTATCCATTCCACCCTAATGTTGTTGTTGATCCGGAGCCCTGGGGACGGTAATAAGCGATAGCGATTCGTGGACGCAGTCCACCTGCGCTTGGGAAATCTGTTACGGTTGCTGCAGATGTGCTATACACATGTTACACGAAATATGTACACGCTTTTGTTGCCCTTCGCTCATTTGCCCCGCTTATCGGCAGCTCACCGCTCAAGATTTCAGTGGGGAGAAGTTGCCACTGTGCCGAGACTCTTTTCGCACTCGCTGACTTCGTTTCTCAGCAACCTTGATCTACTTCATGTTCAGACTCTCCAACTTCGTACTCCTCAAAACTTCTCCACCTCCAATTCTCAAGCTGTCCAAATTCCTCACCCTCCCCGGTTTCACCTCTGACATTTCTAATTTTTAACTTCCCAACTCTCAGTGCTCTTACGAAGAGAACGAGTCGAGGTTGAAGTTAGTGCCCGCCGCCTCCACTGGAGAACCAAGGGGTGAAAAGCGTCTCGTATACTAGCATCTTCCAACTTGTGAGACGCCATAGCTTCACATAACGGCTAAATTCAACATCATAGTAGCCGTAACAACTTGTACATCGGCATCAACCTCGCCATGTATCAAAACCCCTGGGAAGGAACTCTTATCTGTATCAACTTCTCGTCATCATGCTGCCGTTCTCACTTGAGGACTCCTTCAAGCCACCACCTATTGTCGAGTGTCTTTCAGGAGAAGAGTGTCTTGGGTTCGGAAAGAAGGTCCATGTTCCAAACAAATTATGCATGGAGTGCCTCCGAAGGTATGATCCAGAACAACTTCGACTTCGCGCGGATGGAAATGTAGAGGCTCTAGGAATAATCGACGAGGAGATTGCCCGCAAGCAACAAGTGAAGGGAAATATGGAAGCACGCGGTCGATTTCTTTGCGCGTTCGAAGACCCAGATTACCAAGACCGCCGCTGGCGCCGACCCGATCTCAACCTTCGCGGAACTCGATTATCTTGCGCTGTAGTAAAGACAAAGGGCATGGCTTGTGGAAAGTGTTGGAGACGGCACCTGGAAAAGATTGCTGTGGTGCAATACTTTAACCCCGCTGGGTTGTGCCATGAGGAGGCTGACAAGGTGGTTGGAGGGATATTAACTTCTCGCTCTGGGTCATCGGCAATTAATGATGATGAGGATGATGTGGAGGGCTACAATATCGTCATGTCCTGAGCCATCAAGGAGCATGAGTGTATAGGAAAGGGACTGTGTTGTGAGAAACACGATCTGGAGGCTGTCCTATTAATGTCATATCCTGAATCATCGTCAAATATGAGAGTGAGGAGGGTTCCTTTTATTGTCATTCTATAATTCATCACCAGACATGAGTATGTAAGATGGGAGTAGCGTGATGAGGATGATGGTGTCGTGTAAGTTTGGTGGTGATGCAGTGGAAGAGTATTGTATTGGTATGGAGCATCTAAGGCAGTCATATTGAGTAAGAAGGTATGAGCACTTGTCGGTAGTGTCTTGGCTTGGTTGCATTTAGAATTCTGCACGATTGTCAAGTCTTGAAGCACCGAGGACATGAAGGTGCAAGAGGGCGAACGCGTTGCAGCGAGGATGATGCGTGAGGCTCCAGGTTTGTCATTGTCTAAATCACCGACGGGGTGAAGATGCAGGAAGGGAGCCGTGTTGTGAGAATGATGATCTGATGCTGACAAGTTGTCATCTCTTGAATCATCGTGGGGAATGAATTTGTATGGCTTCGAACACGCGCCAGGCCGGAAAATATAGTCTCGAAGCCTCGTGTGCGACTCAGAGGTGAGATGAGGAAGGATTTTGTGAGAGGTCAAATGACCAAAAAGATAATATTGTGGCAATTGATAACCCGCACCAAGAAGGAGGAGGCTTAGTCCGCCGGGAATTTATAATCAAAAATACACCTGACCCACTAGGATCTGTGCTATTGGGCACTCATTGGCTTCGTCATCCTGCGATCTGCATCGGATGTCAGCTGGGAGTTTTGTGGGTATCGTGTGACACTTTTGGGAGCACTAGAGGCATGAGGAACTGAGTTGATTGCTAAAGGAGTGTACTTGAGGTCTATATGTGCAAAGGAGTGGCTAGACATCAAGTGACTAAGCAGGAGGTAAAACAGGTAATGTAATGGTAGTGTATCAGGGGGGTGGAAGTACGTCATCGTGGGACTAGAGATTGGAGACCTCTGTAACTGCAAACATATTAGCTTCAGGTTAGAATATGTGTACTTTATTTAATTCTTTCTTCTTTTCCTGGGTTGGGTTTACTTATCGTGGTATTCTTGACTCTTCTAGTTTAATACATGTTTTTTTAGATGGTTAATTTCCTACTTAGATTCCGTTAAAATTGCACTATTTAACTATATCTCACTCAATGTCAATTTCCACAAAGCGTGACAGTCATGTACGGTCCTTTCTATTTAGTGGCTTGGACGCTCGGTTAAGCGCTGTAATCAACCCCTATAAAGGTTTCCGAGGTAGTGCAAGGATTCCATTTTTCATCTTCACGTCTTTCCGCCCGATCTAGTTTTCTTGGAAATTTCTACGATTTGACTGCTATCTTCCTCCAAGACCAAATTACTTCATGGGACTGAGGGGCTAGGTTTACAATACTTCCAGCTGATATGGTCGGGAAAGAAAGCTGGCTTTAGCCTAAATAAGCTTGATGGAAGAGGCTGAGAGGTTCAAGGGTGGATATTTCCGTGTACTTTTAGGTTTTTTATTCCTTTTTTTCTCTTTTTTTTTTTTTGGAAATGTGTCATGTCACTAACATTTAACCTCCAGATTAGCCATGTAAACCTCCGTCGTCTCGAAGCCAGTTCTGCAACCGATATTCAAGAATATTCGCGCCCTACCAAAGGCCTACTGCTTAATGTCCTCATTGGCTTCCTACAAAGAGATCAATTAACCTAACAGTAGAAAGCTCTATATCTTTATTTGTTTAAGAGGCCATCATACTATCACCGCCCCTTCCTCAAGCGGGGGCATCTTGCTCCAGAGCTAATGAGTCGTCTTGGATCAGTCAGCCTTGGACGATCAAATCCATATCCTTCGCAGTCGAGAATCGATGACGCGGGAGTGGGACATAAATAACTGATGGTTCGAGGCATTTCACGCTAGAAATGAGGCATGCAAAGCGCCCGCGCTCCCTATTTCGCGAGGTGCATTGAACGAGAAAGTCAACGCTCTGTGTTTGCCAATGGTGAGCTAGGGATTCGTACTCTATTTCTAATCTCTCGCAGAGCCAGGCCGTGTTCAAGAGCACAAAGTAAAGTGGTTACCAGCCATTGAGGATCTTCAAACCATGGATATTCCCCACCTACGCTTTTCCAAGGAAGGGCTCTTCGTCTCGAAACATACAAGAATGCAGAAGTGGAAATTTCACTTCAATGCATCTAGAATGGAGAGCCTATAAATACGCGTATTGGTAGCTGCGCCTGAGGAGTGCTCGTTGACTATTCCTGTCTCAAGGTGCGATGCTCTTGCAACTCCGTAGGCGGGATAGGTATTGAGAAGAAATCCGTGGACAACCATGCACTTGACATCATTACCACAACATTCTCATACGCATACATTCTACATCGTCGAAATCATAGTATCGCTCTTTACGAACTGTATTCTTCTATGTTCCTTGTAACCTCTTTTGTCCATCCATCACAGTTATGCGCAGGCAGGATCGCGGAAGTCTGCCCGAGAAATACCAACCTATCGACCCTATACATCGAAACACCCTCGCAGTGCAATGGGAATCCAAACCTTGAAATGTAGCCCCCGGAAGTTCAATCACAGTATTTTCAAAGCCAGTTACGAAATTGGATATGATGCGAGTGGAATCGCGCCATATGCCTTCGGCTGGTTCTTGTCCATGCCGGCCAGTGAATCACCTCACGGATTATACTAAAACATAAAGGAAAGTAATTGAAACCTGAAGCCTTGGAACTCACCGGAAACACATGGTAGCTCGTCTGGAAGACGCCGCAAGTAGAGAAAAGCGTTTCATAGTTGCGGGGAAGGACGAGGGATCGTGCATGGGTACCAAGGGTAAGTGGACGTAGTGTGTGATCTAGTAAGGAAGGAGTTGGAGACAGAGATACGCATGAGAGAGCGGATGAGGCTAATGAAAGTAGATATATGGAGGTCCAGAAAGCGGAAGAAGCCCAGAAAGGCATTCAGACAGGGAAAGCGGATGTTATGTTGACCAAGCTCCTCTCCTACGGAGACCCCTAATTTCGAACTCGTCGTTTTACAGCCTCAAGTGCTCCGAGACTTGGTCCCAAAGGCGAATTGCTTCAACAATTGAGTCGTGATCTTGCTGCATTATCTTAACAGGATTAAGTTTAACGCACTGTTATGACTATCGATGAGCGGCCCGCTGCTCGAGAGAACTAGCCTAGTGAGAGACCAGGAATAAGTAACCTTTCCTTCCTTTTTAACACCTAAGTCGCTCCGGCTTGGGCTGTGTTAAACCTTATGAAACATTGAATTTATTAATAAACGGAAGAGGCTATGGAGTGCGTGGTTGATAGTGATGTCCAACTCTTCAATAACCCAGTAACGCCACATCCTTGCAAAGCCACTGCTGCATGGTTGGATGATATCCCGGTGACAATAACTACTCGCAGTCGCGCCTCTAGTGGCTCTAGCATGTCCATTAGGTCTGATCCGCCCAGAAGCTTCAGTAGCTTCCGTAGGGAGCAGGAAGTGATGGAAAATGCTGTTCAGAAACATCTAGGGAGAACGCATATAGGTATGTAATTTTGGGGCAAGGTAAGAGGAAAGTGAGAGGACGGGAGGTGGGAAGGGAGCGGATCGATTCCACTGAAGGTCTTAAAGAAGTACAGGCAAGGACACGAGTAGGGACACACAATGCTAACCCGGTGCAATTTGTGGTCTGATAGCTCGATTCCGGTGGATTTGGTGAGCTCGTTTGAATTGAGTAACAAGTCAGTTCATTTGCTTGTTCCTTGGAAATACTGGAGGTGAACCAAATTCATGGCTTTGGATACGGAGAACGGTCAGCTGATCTGGCTTTGGTGCGGAGTAAATAGGAATTGAGACAAATTCATATCCACGCGAAATCTTGATAAGAAGTAATCCCCCCATCTCTGGATATGACGGCTTTCCTCGTCCAAAGGTATTCTCCTTTGAAAATGAAGAGTTAGAGCACACAATTCGGGAAATTTCATTGACCTACAAAGGGTATCCGACAATGGCAAATTTCCCGGCCTACTACGGACATCCCATTCATAGAATTAGTGTAATATAATTTCACGGGAATTTCCTCAAGGAGTTAAAGATGAATGGAGTAGTCAGAGTGTTACTCGGGCTCGGAGAGGTTCATGCAGAACCACTCTTCACCGCCTTCTTGTAACCGGACTAGCGCGGGGCAAAATTTCTTAGCTCCGACTCCGGCGAGGCCAGTCCGAGGCCGTCAGACGATTTAATCTGACGAAGATCGAGCGTTGACCTTTTGCCCTTCGCCCAAATCTCCCGACTCCCGCGTGAGTGACTCACTTTGGCCTAAGATTCATTATACAAGTGTCCTCTTCCTGTCTCGATATTCATCGAAAACTTTTTGTTCTCGAACCTCAATTCCAAAAAAAAGAACACCATGGACGCAATCAAGAAGACTTTCGCGCGATGCAAGAAGGAGGGCAGGGTAAGCTACATGACCCCAGATTCGGCCTCCTTGATGCTGAGTGGAATTGTAGTCGGCCCTGGTTACATACGTGACTGCGGGTTATCCCACCGCCGAGGCTACACCTGACATCATGCTCGGAATGGAGGCTGGTGGCGCCGGTACGTTCTCCGCACACGTCTCCAAACGGGAAGGAAACTAACCAATTGGCACCTACAGACCTTATAGAGCTTGGTATGCCCTTTACTGATCCGATCGCCGACGGTCCGACCATTCAGAAGTCCAATACTGTATGTTGACTCATACGTTACCTCTCGAGGCTGGAAAATTCTTACAAGAATCGTCTGCAGCAAGCCCTTAAGAATGGTGTGACAACTGAAGGATGCCTTCAAATGATTCGAGACTCCCGAAAGCGAGGTCTTAGAGCCCCGGTACTGTTGATGGGATACTATAACCCAGTTCTGAGTTACGGCGAAGAGCGTATGATGAAGGATGCAAAGGAGGCAGGCGCTAATGGATTCATTATCGTTGATCTGCCTCCAGAGGAAGCTGTTCGCTTCAGAAATTACTGCACCAGTTTCGGGTGAGTAGCGAGCGATCGTATCTCTGGGCCCCGCAGCTAACTGTTATTACCTAGGCTATCCTACGTCCCTCTGATCGCTCCCGCTACCTCGGACCACCGCATGCGCGTCCTCTGCAAGATTGCTGATTCGTTCATCTATGTGGTCTCCCGCATGGGGGTCACAGGCGCAACAGGGACCCTGAACGCGGCTCTCCCACAATTGCTCGAGCGAGTCCATAAATACTCTGGGAATGTTCCAGCCGCGGTTGGATTTGGCGTCAGCACAAGGGATCATTTCTTGAGCGTTGGAAAGATTGCTGAAGGTGTGGTTATTGGCAGCCAGATTGTGAACGTTATTGGAGAAGCTGCTCCAGGCGAAGGCGCGAAGGCAGTCCAGGAATATTGTAGCAAGATCACCGGTCGGGACACGAGTCAAAATAGCGCAACCAGGGAAGTGGGTATCGTGGAGACTCTAGCCGAGGCCAAGGAACCGAACAACGTGACAGTTGACAAGGTCATCACCGATACCGACACGCCTAGTGGCCCGGGGCTTGCTGACCAGATCGAGGCTTTAAACTCTGATGGGTTTGAGCATGAGCACTCAATTCCGCCCCGGTTTGGAGAATTTGGAGGTCAGTATGTACCTGAGTCGCTTATGGACTGCCTTGCCGAATTGGAAGATGGTTTCAACAAAGCGAAAGACGATCCAGAATTCTGGGAGGAGTATCGATCATATTATCCGTATATGGGGCGCCCTGGACAACTGCACCTTGCTGAACGACTTACCGAGCATGCTGGAGGGGCGAATATCTGGTTGAAACGCGAGGATTTGAATCATACTGGCAGCCATAAAATTAACAACGCTCTCGGCCAAATTCTTCTTGCTCGAAGATTGGGTAAAACTGAAATCATCGCCGAAACAGGAGCAGGCCAGCACGGTGTTGCGACCGCCACGGTCTGCGCTAAGTTTGGCATGAAATGCACCATATATATGGGTGCAGAGGATGTCAGGCGCCAGGCCCTAAACGTCTTCCGCATCAAGCTCCTAGGTGCTCAAGTCATTGCCGTTGAAGCGGGCTCGCAGACACTCCGGGATGCAGTCAACGAGGCCTTACGAGCCTGGGTTGTTCACCTCTCCACAACTCACTACATCATCGGTTCTGCAATCGGCCCTCATCCTTTCCCTACTATTGTCCGAACTTTCCAGTCAGTTATTGGGAACGAAACTAAACAGCAAATGATGGAGAAGCGCGGAAAATTGCCCGATGCCGTCGTCGCGTGTGTTGGGGGAGGTAGCAACGCCGTCGGCATGTTCTACCCATTCTCGAATGATCCCTCCGTTAAGCTGCTTGGCGTGGAAGCTGGCGGTGACGGTGTCGATACGAACCGACATAGCGCTACTTTGACGGGTGGTACCAAGGGCGTTCTCCACGGAGTCCGTACTTACGTCCTCCAAGACAAGCACGGCCAGATCAGCGATACACACTCCGTCTCCGCGGGTCTTGATTATCCTGGTGTTGGCCCCGAATTATCCTCTTGGAAGGACAACCAACGAGCCAAGTTCATCGCTGCCACTGATGCGGGGGCATTCATTGGATTCCGTCTCATCTCCCAACTTGAAGGCATCATCCCTGCGCTGGAGACTGCCCACGCTGTCTATGGCGCCCTAGAACTTGCTAAGACGATGAAGAAGGATGAGGATATTGTGATTTGTCTCAGCGGACGAGGCGATAAGGATGTACAGAGCGTGGCTGATGAGCTGCCTAAGCTTGGACCGCAGATTGGATGGGATCTGAGATGTAAGTGAACCATTTCGGTTCTGTGAGGGGAATCTTTGCTAACATGCCTCCAGTCTAAAAGACGTGTTCCGAGTGTCGCATGTCATCAGCCTGGTAAACTTGGTTCAAGATACTTGAGAGATCACGCCATCTTAGCATTCGTAGAGTAGAGAAGATTAAGTAACCTCATCCAAACACTCATATTTTTGGTATTATCGTGAAGATGGTTAGGAAGGTGTTTGGTCCCAGCTGGTGATACCATGTGTTGCTGCCATTGGAATGTGAACGAAACTTACCCCGTGTATCTTGCACAAAATCCGGAGACGTGAAAACAAGAGAAATCAAGGCATTGGCAGGGATTTTGCACCTCTCCAAGGGATCAACAGGCTTTAACTGATATATTTACCGTATATCTTGGCTGAAGTTGGAGAACGAGAAAGTGACTAGTAAATCCTGGATTGAGAAAATGAGGCTGAACAATCGCCTACTAGGCCTAGAGCGGATTCCTAAGCGAAAAGTATGAACCGGGGTCTGTGAGCCAATCAAGGGTCCCACGAGTCTGATTCTTGGCCTGGAAAGGTGACGGTTCCAATGATGCACCAGCGAAACGTCACTCATGAACCACATCCACAACAAGCCACCGATCCACCTTTCCGCATGCCACCCGTCTGATCACCTGCTCCTCAGTGCAACCACCACGATCCCCTCTCCCACAACCCTCCTCTGCTCTTGCAGCTTCCCGATCACCAGGCGAGCATCCTGGACGGGCCTTCTACCCAACGGGCTATTCTCAGCGGCGAGGCCTTTGAGCTCCAGGAGCTTTACAACCACGCAGCTGAGGCACGCGAGGGGACACAGGAAAGCCAGCGTGAACGGAAGCGGCGGGAGAAGCTCGAGCGGCTTCTCGAGGAGGACGAGATGAAGTTCTCGCATAGCTTGCAGTTTAATGCTGTGCCGGACTGGAGCAGCCATTATATTGCCTATAGCAATCTCAAGAAGCTGTATGTTACACCCCGATCCAGGCACACGGGAACGGGAAGCGACAGTCGCCATGCGAGTGGAGAATATTGAGCTTTGAGGTCAAGCATGGGGAATACTGACCCGGGTGTTCCATCGTACAGGATCTACACTCTCGAGCAGCGCATCAACCAGCAGGTCGCCCACGCCGATGCCGAGTCCTCGCCCTTGCTAAGCGGAGCCGCCGAAGAGCCCGATAAAGTCTTCACGAATGCGCTGGACCAAGAGCTGGAGAAGGTATGCTCCTTTTACCAGCTCAAGGAGCTCGAGATCTACGGGGAGCTGGACGACCTATTAAAGGATGAGGAGAACTACGAGGAGGAGCAAGAGGACTTCGAGCATGAGCAGGAGAATCAACCGCCGGGAAAGAGGGCCAGGAGTGCGAGCATTTTCAAAAGCATAGGGTTCGCGCGGCCGAGGCGGACAAGCACCCTCAGTCGGCGGTCATACCTGGAAGAAGACGACGAGGCTGACTCGGACGACGATGCCAACGAAACGTCACAACTGCGGAGGAAGAGCACTGATGGGCGACGGAGGTGGGACGGTCACCACGACGAGGACATGCAAGGCTCTACGGACTTCGCGTCTTCTAGGCGGAGGGCTAGCGTCGCCTTCGACGACTACAACGATATGGCATTTTCAGCACTCTACGACGAAGGCGTGTCATTGAAGAGGAGGACAATCAGCATATACGTCAACCTATGCGAATTGCGGTCCTTCATTCAGTTGAACAAGACCGGCTTCTCTAAAGTGCTGAAGAAGTACGATAAGATCTTGGATCGAAAGCTGAAGAGCGCCTATCTTGCCGAACACGTCGACAGAGGATATCCTTTTCAAAAGCCCACGATAGAGAATCTCGCCGAAAATCTCACCCGGATTGAAACTGCCTATTCTCGTATCTGCACAAAAGGCGACGTCGCGGAGGCCAAACGTGAACTCCGACTTCACCTGCGAGAACACGTGGTGTGGGAGCGGAACACTGTCTGGAGGGAGATGATCGGCATCGAGAGGAAAGCTCAAGCCGCCAACATCGGGATCCGACAGACAATGCTAGGGCGGGCCACAGACCCAAGAAAGGTGCGGTTGCAAGGCGATGAAATTGAACCTGAGCTCAAGGAAGTCTCTACCCCTATTGGAAAATATCAATGTCCGCGGTGGCTGTTCAGCAGTACCTTTTACACTCTTGTTCTCATCCTAGCGCTGTTCTTTGTTCTGCTGTTTGTGCCCTTTATGGAAAAGCCAGAGCAGCAGAACTGTTTAGCCATGGTCGTGTTCATCAGTCTGTTGTGGGCCACCGAGGTATGTCCCTTCTTCCTCTTATCCAACCATCTCTCACGTCATGTAGGCTATTCCTCTCTTCGTGACATCGCTGCTTGTTCCCTTCTTAGCCGTTACGCTCCGCGTTGTCCGCAGTGATGCAAAGCCTCACGCGCGGCTGGAGTCGAAGCAAGCGGCTAGTTATGTCTTTTCAGCTATGTGGACCCCTGTAATTATGCTTCTTCTTGGAGGCTTTACGATTGCAGCTGCTCTCTCGAAGTACAATATTGCTAAGATGATGGCGACATTTGTCCTAAGCAAGGCGGGAACGAAACCACGTACTGTTCTCATTACCAACATGTTCGTTGCCATGTTCGCCAGTATGTGGATCAGCAATGTTGCTGCTCCTGTCTTGTGCTATTCTATTATCCAGGTGAGTTTATACCCTAGTACAAGTACAAAAGTAACTACTAACTATCTCTAGCCTATCCTCCGGAATCTTCCCTCCGACTCAGATATGACCAAGGCCCTTCTTCTTGGCATCGCCCTCTCTTCCAACATCGGCGGGGCTGCTTCACCTATCGCCTCGCCCCAGAATCTTATCGCCCTGCAGAACATGAACCCCGAGCCAAGCTGGGGTGTCTGGTTCTTCGTCGCGCTACCTGTCTGCATCATTTCTATTCTCCTAATCTGGCTTCTCCTGCTTGTGACTTTCAAACCCGGCCGCAACACTACTATTGTCCCCATCCGCCCACTCAAAGATCACTTTACTGGCATCCAATGGTTCATCAGCATCGTCACCCTCATCACTATAGCTCTATGGTGTGTGTCGCACCAACTCGAGCCCATCTTCGGCGACATGGGTGTCGTTGCTATTATTCCCCTCGTCCTATTCTTCGGTACGGGCATCTTGACAAAAGAAGACTTCAACAATTTCCTCTGGACTATTATCATCCTCGCTGCTGGTGGCCTGTCTCTTGGTAAATCAGTCAACTCATCAGGGTTACTACACACTATTGCTCAGAGCATCACCGAGAGAGTGGATGGCATGAGCCTATATGGGGTGCTAGTCGTGTTCGCAGCATTGATTCTAGTCGTCGCTACATTCATCAGCCACACAGTCGCCGCCCTGATTGTCCTGCCTCTAGTGCAACAGGTCGGACAAGCTATGCTGCAACCGCACCCCAACCTACTAGTCATGGGGAGCGTGTTGATGGCGTCTGCCGCTATGGGGTTGCCCACTAGCGGCTTCCCCAATATGAGTACGTAACCCTAACACAAGTTCTCTCCCTTTAATATCTGAGCAGGATAGAATACTAACTGGTTCTCAGCGGCGATCATGATGGAAGATGGGCGAACAGGCCAACGATACCTTGAAGTCAAACACTTCCTTACACGGGGTATTCCGGCTTCGCTGATTACGTTTGTGGTTGTTATTACCGTAGGATATGGGTTGATGCTTGTGGTGGGCTTTTGAGATCTCGTATAGTAGTATTGTATACATACATTACCCGCGTCCTGTGCTTTCTGGGTGATTGGAATCTGGATGGCTGTGGATTTTAATGCTTACGAATTTGGATGGATGGTGTTGGATGGAGATCTAGCGTTTTGGTTATGGTGAAGCATGGTTGCATTCGATGCGGCGTTGTAGAGAAATGGATTTTGCAGTACTACCGCGTTGGTATTGAATGCGTCCTGCCAGAATGCCTATCTGTGTTGATAGATGTTGGAGGCGACAACTTAAATCTTCGTGTATGGCTATAAAGGCGGACTGGATGAAGGTCGAGGCTGGGAAGGCACAAGTCTACAAGGGTGTGACCCTCGGCACAGTCTTTTACCTCGCGTTTTCGACACCACTCTCCCCGCTGACCTTCGCTCGCACGTGAAGCTTGCTTTACGTGGCTAGACCGACCAACTATACTCCATACGACCGTTGCGCGAAAGAGTTGGTCGATAAATGGCCATATCATAGTGCGAACAGTGACATGTGCTCGTCATTTTCCTTGGGGAACGTCTGATCACTGCAGAACGGATGAGTCTAAACAACCTTATTTGTAACATATCTACTTGGTAAAAGACTGCAAGAAGATAGTGGGATAATACTACACTATTGTTCCTTAGCGATAGTACTCAGCGTTTACCTACATAGTTCAAACTAGAATGATGTCTTTCTTCTCACGCTTTCCCCTCGTGAAGAGTTCCACTATTTCTCCTTTTATTTTCCCTGAAAAATGCTTCTCCCACCAACTGGTAATCACTGACTGGCCCAGAGATGGCCGGATAACGAACCGAGTATGTGTTCCGAATATGATGCATAATAAATCTCTTTTCCTAGCATAAGGTAGAATCTGAGCGTAGAATGCAATTGGCATCGGTCTGATAGCCGGAAATCGGACTCGATTCGAGGATCTTAAACGATGACAGGACGAATCTCGACCTTGGAGAAAGTGACACGAGACATCATGAAGGAGCGTCGGCATCTGATGAATGACTAGATGCCGATCTACAATACTATGCTGTGATTGCTCTGCCCAAAAAAGACTTTTTGTTGGATATGGTGCTTAACAAGGAAAGCGCAATTTGTGGGATGACATTATCCCACTCGTGCTCAGTTTTCGAGTCTTATGTATCCCTACCTCTCCCCCTGGAATCTTCCTCTTCAAAATATATTAGAGCTATACTATACCCCAATCTATCGAAATTAACGCCTTTCACCTTGAAATGACTATAACTTAGGAGTTGAGGCGTGGCTCCCGAATACACCAACTTCTAACCTTTGCCAAAATCCGGCTCTGTAGCCATCTGTGAAGCTAGGAGGAGCACCAGAGGCATGAGGAACTGGATTGATTGCTAAAGGAGGGCAACGACGGGTTTATATAGTACTAGGTGAACCCGTCATGTGACTTAAGGCTAGCAATAGCTCTGGGCCCCAGCATGTGGCGTAGCTAGGCAGCAGAGGGTCAAAGGAGTGTAGGTGACTAGAGCTTGGAGAGCTCCGTTACTGAAAACACCATCACTGTTCCCTCGAACCTACGTAAATCTAAGATAAATGCATCAACGGCCGAGCCTGAACTTACAAGAAGGCCTCCTCTCCCGCCGCCTTCTCATCTACGGTCCCCAAAAAGTCCTCTGGAAGTGTGATGACCCCAAACTCCAGAGGTACGAGTAAAAACATTTAAACCCCAACGCGAAGATTCCTGGTATAATGCAATACCCCCTCAAAGCAGTGATATTTGTCAAAACCTTATACGTCTCTGCCTAAACGCGCATGCATATTGGGGAAGCGCATATTTCGCCCGCAAGCTGATCAGAATGTCAGACGACAAGAAACGTCTAGATATTTAGCTTTTCTGGCTTCCATCAAACCCCCATGTTCAAGGAATTAAATGTGTTGCAGGTTCCTTCATTATTCGTCTTAGATCAAGGACCAGAGTCGACGAAGTTGTTTAATCATAGACCAACCTGGCAATCTGTTCTAGACACAAAATTTCTCTTAAAACTAATGATCCAGTATCACGACCGGTTTCTAAATTCAAGCTGTTGGGGGTGCAATAGTTTTTACAACGCGTGGCAGTAATGAGTGGAGCTGCTGGAACTCATGGTGTTTGATAGCACTAGTACTGTTGCTACTGTTATTAATAGTATCAATCTCTTAGCAGTTAGAACAAAGTAAATTGCCTTCTGTTACTGTACAGTTAATAAGGCTCTAGCTACTGCAGTAACTGCCTATACTGTTCAATTTCTTAGCACTTTAGCCAAGCTAGAAGAACAATTATATTTAATTATAATGGACTACGCCATCGATTATGACGGATGATACAAGTACCCGATACACCAGCAGCCTTACTACATTGCTCAATGGCAAAGGCTGGAAAAGGCGGGAAATCTAACCCGTTAGTCTTTTCCAATGGTATTCCCTCACATTCGTGCAGGACATGAACTGGAGAGTTGCTAAGGCGATTGGCTCTGTCCAGCTCAGTGCGTGGCCTCTGACCACTGCGGAAATTATCGCTCCGATGCTACACAAAAGCGAAGATTCCTGAACAAGACTAAATGCAGCGCTTCCAACAGTCCGTAGTACGTAACTGTCACGTGAGCTGTAAGTTACGGCTCACATCTCTGCCCCTACGTACGTAGTACGTCTTAAAAAGTTGATATTTCCTAGCAATATATATCTTGATTAGACATGTCTAGGGGCGCGTTAGCAGCGTGTTTAAGGTTGCGTTGTTAAGTAATAATTAGGTGAAAACTTTAAGGTTTGTGGGACGTTAGGGGATAGAGATGTAGGATCTTATACAAATAGTTAACTTTTTGCCTAGTTTATTGTCCTAAGTCTATACTTGCCTATACTCTTGTCCATCATAAGCTAACAGGTGTCCTAGTTCCTCTATTGTAGAGCTTTTTATTATGTATGTTTTAGTTTAGCTCTAAACTAGATAGAACTTTACTATAAAATAAAATAAAGCACTAATTTCTATTAGCATATTTCTAAGATAAAACTCTTACTACTACTTTATTAAAAGTGTTAGTTTCAATTTTAGTTTATAACATAAAGTTAAAATAGTAAAGCATAAGTATACTTAGTAGCACAAACTTTAGATTTTTAAAAGCTATATTACACTTTAAAGTTTATATAAAAAAGTTAGTAAAACTTTAAAGCATAATAATTAGTTTTACTACATAAAATTTTTTTAAAATAAATTATTAATAGAATCTAGTAAAGCCTAAGAAGAATTTTACACCTGCTGTAGTAGTAGGTGTCTGCTAGTTGCGCAGTACCTTTACTTTCTTTAAGTTAACCTCTAGTTCTTTGTTTAAAAGTATATAGCTAAGATACTTTCTTTAAGTAATATAAAATTTACTTTTTTTAATTTTTACTTATAATTTTGCTTACTAAAGCCTTTCTAAAACTTTTTTAGTATAGAAAATATAAGTTGCTTTATTTTTAAAGTAAATAAAAATGTTATTTAAGTAAGTAATGTAAAAATTATCTAGGTAGTTAATTAATATGTTATTTATATAGCACTAGTAAGTTACTAGGCTATTATATAATCTAAAAAGTAAGACTTTGCATTTATATATTTTATATTATGTTTAAAAGGTTGTACACTTTTTAGATGTTAAGTTAATTCTAATTTTATTAAAAGCTACGTGAATATTAAACTTTATAAAGATAGCTACTTTTATAAGTTTTAATAAAAGTTTATTTATACATAGTATTAGATACACATTCTTACAGGTAATAGTGTTAAGTTTATAGTAATTAATATAAATACATAAGTTGCTATTTAGTTTCTATATATAAAAAATAGAAAATGTAAAAGAGCTTTAACTTTACTTAATAAAGCTATATTTTAGATTATTTATAACATATTTTTTTAATACCTCTAGTTTCTTAATGTTTTATTTATATAACAGGCTGTAACTATTAAAATAAGGTTCTATAAAAACAATCTTATAGTTGTATAGGTAATTTGCTAGTAATTAGTAAGCTATAGTGTAGCTAAATACATCTTAGTACTAATAGTATTTAGATAGTAATTAAAAGTTTACTAATACTTTATTTTTATATTTATTATTTAATAGTAGAGCTTACTTATTTTTAATTAAACACTTAATTTTATAAATAAAAGTTAAAAAAAACTTATTTTTTTATATTAAAATAAAAAGTATTTACTAAAATAAAAGTAATAGTAGAAAAATAAATGTTTTTTAAACCTACAGTTAATAGACAACAGTCTTCTAACACTTAGAAATTAACTAAGAATTGCCTAGAACATTAGAAAATTAAATTAAATATATTATATAGTAAATAGTAGTCTAAAATTTACAAAAATCTCCCTAGGTTTGCTTAATAACCTCCCCTACTTAGTACTTAGTTTGCTAGCTCTAGGCTCTCTGTACAGCAGCTAAGTAGTGTAGCATAGACTTTATAAGCTTGTAGATTAGTAAATTAGGTATCTTTCTTTACACTTCTTTTAAAGCAGCTTTTAAAGCGTTCTAATCCTCTTATAACTTGCCTATAGTTTTAAGCTTTAGGTGTAGTTTATAGACTATCTTTCTTAAGGCCTACTAGAGGTGCTCTATTAGGTTAAGGTTAAGTAAATAGGGGGGCTATTCTATTATCTAAATCCTGTGACTTTCTAAGAACTCTTATGCTTTTATACTATTATATATAAAAGTGTTATTTTGCATAAAGATCTATCTAAGTTAGTAATAAAGTAATAAACCCTTTTTTAGTGTTTAGCAGTAACTCTTGCCTAAATAGCTATTATAAGGGGCATTAAAGTCCCTTTTTATAATAGCTAATTTACTTTAGCTAACACTCCTGTTTAGATTAATCTAAATAGCCCTCTATACTATTTATAAAAGCTGCTTTCTTATTTTTTCCTTTATAATTATATTTTTATAATATTTTTTATGTAAAAGATAAAAACACTACTTTACCTACTTACTAGTACCTCTTTATATAAAGCACTTATTAGAAAACTTAACTACGCGCTTATGCTAGTTAAAGTAATAGTACTTTTTTAGTAAAGTGTAGTTATAAAGCAGCATAGCTGTAGTTTAATTTAGGCTATTTTTTACAGTAGTAATTAGTTAGGCTATGCTTCTTAAGCATCTAGTACAGTGTACAGTTGCACAGGGGGTGGGTTTATTAGAGGGAGAGGTCTAGCAGACTAGCTTCTTTTTAGAGGTTTTTGTATATTTGCTTAGAGTTTTTTCTAGCTATTTAAATAATTATCTTCTTCTCCTGCCTTAAAAGTACTAGGTGCTTACTAGTATAGGGTAATAACTTAACAGTGCTGTGTTGTTGCTATCTTTTAATAGTGTTGTATATTATAAAGCAGGTAACATAAAACACCTCTAACGTACCTAACAGGTTGGCCGGCCACACGGGTTGGCCGGCCACTTTTGCTAAGCCCCTACTAAAACTACCCTATTCTCTCGCAAAACAGCCTACTTTAGCCCTATATAAAGTAATATAACATAAGATATTATTTAAAGTCTACTTTTACTACTTACTTACACATATGTAAGTTATGCCTAGTCTAATTACACTGCCTACATTGCTTTTAACTTAGCTTACCTTTTTTAGCATGCACCTGCGTCTTTAGCTTCTTCTTATTACTACACACTTTAAACTCCTTTAAAGCAGTTAGACAAGCCCTATTTTTAACTATTAAGGTTTTTTCTGCCTAAATTTGCTTTCTTTTATGTAATTTATGTTACGTAGTAGCTTTATTTACTACTTAAAGCTTTATAATTTTATAGCCTACTCTGTTATATTAATGCTCTAGATAACTATTATCTACTTTTTATTACTTTACTATATTACCTTTAGCTGTTTTTATCTCTCTAAAGCTGTAATAACTGCTCTAGTTAATATCTAGCCTATTATAAAGTCTAACTTATTAAAGTTATACTTGTCTTTATTCTAGATACTGTACTTAGCTTTTATGTTAGCTACTAGGCAAAACTAGCCCTAGATAACCTCTAAATCCTTATAAAGCGCTCTTTTATAATTATACTTATAATTAAACTTTATTGTAAACTTAGAGTAGTGCTTAACTTATATACTAGGCTAGTTTAAGCTAACTTAGCCTAAATTGCGCTCTGTAGGTAAGGAATTAGCTGTATTAGCTATAGCTACAAGCCTAGAGGGAAATCTGTGTGTAATAAGCTTAAGTATGTACTTAATAACTAACTTTTTTTTAAGCTTAGTTAGATTTTTTAATTTAGGCTAGCATTCTGCTTGTAAAGGCTGTCTAGCGCGTTAATTACTTAGTGTTATGTAAAAGACATTATAGATAGCTGCAGCGTATTATAAGAAAAGTTTTAAGTCTTATTTAAAAGCCTAAAGAGCAAGCTGTATCTAACATTCTTTAGAAGATTTAATCTAGTGTTGTTGTTAAAGCATTATGTAGATAGGTAGAGTTTAGTAGGGGCTTGGCAAAAGTGGCCGGCCAACCTGTGTGGCCGGCTAACCTGTTAGGTACGTTATAAGTTTTAATAGTAATATTCTAGCTTTCTATTATCTAATAATTAGAGACTGCGCCTTATTTAAAAGCTCTCTATTAGACCTGCAATTTCTGCTAATTTCTGTACTAAAAGACCTTTACATAATAAAGTTGTAGGTGGTGGGGTGATTAGTAGAAGTTTCGCGTTTCCGCGTTTTAGTAGGGGTGGCCCCTGCGTGTCAGGAGACTTTTGTCCTAGTACTGTATTCTAGTCTTCTTAATAGATAAGTAGATAAATAATTAAAGTGTTTTTAAACTATAGCTAATAAAAGAGTAGTATAATTTTAGTAACCTTAGTAAACCTGTAATGTAGTAGATTATTAG